AGGACTTGATTGGTGCCATGCTGGTGGGAATGTGTTTATTTTCTTGACTTTTTCATTTTCTCAGCCCAATTTTAGTCAGTTGGGAGTTGATTTCAACTCCGTGACCAATGAAATTGGTGTGACACACCCTGTTTTTGGAGTAACACTTTTAGATTAAACATGGAGATTGTTTTATAATGAAGGGTTTTTTCCAAGCATAGTCACATAGAAATTGTTTTAAACACAGTCAAGTGAATTTCCAATATGATGGCACCCAATTCATCTTTGGTTTATTAGTTGGATTTTGGAACAGTTGATCTACAGTATCACTTGGCCTTTTCATCCTGCAATACCTGGCCTTAAATATTTCATAAACTTATGTCTGATCTCTAGTTATATCACTTCATGCAACAATTCTTCTCTACCTACTTAACAAATACCATTGGTTAAGATAGGGACTTGACCAGTCTCAGAAAAATCAAGGCATTTAGCAACACAGTGAGACCCTGTCTCTAATAATATACAAAAGAGGGCTAGGGATGTGGTTCAGTGGTTGAGTGCCCCCGAGTTAAATCCCCAGTAATCCACTCGGATGAAACAAAAAAGTAGGGGCTTGATTCATAAGATGTTATAAGGCATGATTTTTGTTTTCAATAGGAATATTATGTTAAATTGAGAAGTGTAAAAATATTATTATTATTCTGTTTAAATGGGTTAAAATTAACATGCAAGCATTTATGGTAATATAGAGGTGGGAATTCTGTATCACATAGGTTAGCAGGGATTAGGGTGACTATCCATACAGGTACTCTTTAAATTCCACTTTGAAGGATAAATAATAAGAACTTAGAAGAAGGAAGGGTGGTAAGAAACTCATTCTAGGCACAGAGAATCGTTCTTTCTACTAGATCACTTTGGGTATGTTTCTTGGCTTCTTTGGAATTCATTCATTGACAAATGGGAAATAAAACATTTAACACATTTTTTACTTACATTTGGAGTTGAATATAAAATTCCTGGTTCTGTGGCTGGTACCTGGGATTCAATGACAGATCTCATCTCTCCCTTATTTTAGCCACAAATTATGTATATGTCTTACCAAGGACTACTGCTAATCTCTAAAACAACTACTTTAACTCCTAAATCATTCACAACCATATTATCCCCAGGACAAGAGAGAGAGATTTAGTACTTGATTTAAGGAACTTTAACTGGGAATTAACTAAGAGTAATAGATGTAAGCCAAATGTCTATTACAGTTTCATTGCTGAGATTAGGAATTTAACATGCTTGAAAATTTCTCCAAGACATCAAATAGCCGACATTTTCAGAGACATCCATTTTTTACTCCTTTCTATGTTCAATGAAAGCTATGGCCTGGTACTTTCTTTAGATCATAATTTAGATGTCAATCTTTACTACTCTAAAATAGTGGCCCTGGAGTTTTAGCTCTACTTAAGACCAGCTTCCAAATATAATAAAAAATAGCTATGAAATCAGAAACCTCTTAGTAATTCTACTGGCTCACGGCAGGACCACTTGAAAAGTCACTCAATATAAGAAAGAAATAAAATGTGCAAGGTTCAGGAGGGAGTGCCAAAAATGAAGTTGAAATGGTTGGAAATATTGTTTTATACCACTTCATCTTTAACCCTTTTGTGACATTTCAATGAAAAGTTTTATTTGAATCTCTAAATTATATTCGATATAACATTGCCGCAAACTTTCTTGATATTTCTCTTAGGTGATTGATTTCCTATTGATTCATGGTTGTGATCTAGAACAGAGATCTACATGCACAGGTGTGGCTAATTAGATGCTTTCTCTTAGTACTATGATTCACATTCCTGAAACTTGACTATTTGTGCATTTAAGCATGATTTTTGCTACATAGTTCTTAAAACATTTGTTAGAATTTACATTTTTTTTCAGTAGAATCTTTATTTTCTTATTTCTAATGGAAAAATCATCTAAAGTTTATATCAGGAGCTGTTGTTTTCTTGTGTTTTATAAGAGACCAAGAAAAGATAATGGATTTGGAATCAGAAAATTGAGTCAAAGTCACAGTCTCAATTTATCTAGTTTGATGGTGTGATGGTTAATCTGGAATATCACTCAAAATGGATTGAGAGATGCACATGATTAAGAGACTTGCAGGTGTGCCTGTGAGAGTATTTCTAGAGATGATTGTCATGTACTGCAGTATACTGAGCGAGGGAGTGTCCTGAATGTGGCTAACACTGTCCAATAGGTTGGGGGTCCAGATGGAACAAAATGAAGAAGGAGGTAGTCTCAGAAGATAATAGCTCTGTTCACCTTAAGCCAGGGCATCTCTTTCTGCCTCCATTACCAGGGATGTCAGACTATAAATTCTTCTCTAGTGTGAACTCTCATCAAAGATTCTGCATGGAGTTTCCAGAATTTCAGTCTCAGACTGGGGCTGTGTCATTGGTCCCTTATTCTCTGAGGCTTCAACTTATTGGACCAAGCACCTCTTGATTCCTCCAGTTTCCCAGCTAGCAGAGGGTCATGTGGGACTATCCATCATCTCATTATGTAAGTCACTCTAAAAATCCCCATTTTATTAGGAAACATATACATATACTCTTGTTCAGTTCCTCAAGAGAATCCCAATATTCCTGGCCTTGAGCAGCCCATTAATATTTTTTTTCAATTTGATATTTAACATGTATAGAGCATGATATATATTTTTTAAAGAATTTTACTACCATTGATGAGTAATAAGTACTATTAAAAGTGATATTTTATT